TCATCTACAAGTTGATCGATATTGGGCAAAGGAAAAGGGTCCATGGGGCACGCCTTGTTGAGATCCGTGTAGTCCACGCACATGCGGAAGGCAGGAGGCTTCTGTGCGAGGACTACATTCGCCAGCCATGAGGGATATTTCACCTCCTTGATGTGCTTAATAGAGAGGAGCATGGAGACCTCCTTCTTCACAAATTCCCTCCTTTCGGCGGAGAGGGGTCTTCTTCGCTGCTGTACTGCTTTTGCCGAGGGGTCCACCGAGAGGCGGTGGGTGATGACCCTGCGGCTTACTCCCGGCATGTCCTTTGGCCCCCATGCAAAGACAGTGGAGTAGGCGCGGAGGGCGTCGGTGATACCGGCCTTCAGATCTTCAGGAAGCTGGGCTCCAATTTTCACGACTCTCTCCGACTGGGCCGGATCGAGCGCAAAGTCTTCTACGTCCTCAGCTAGTTCAGCCCTCGGCCTTTTTTCTTCTTGGTCGATGGTTTCGGTGATGGTGTCAACACGGAATTCAGTCTTACTTACATTCTTAGTGACTTGAAGATAGCAGGCGCGTGCGATTTTCTGATTCCCCCGGGAGTAACCAATGCCCCCCTCGGCGGGAAACTTGAGGCAGAGATGCCTCATGGAGATGATGGCCTCGAGATCCTCGAGGGCTGGCCGGCCGAGGATGATGTTGTGGGCGCAGTCGATGTTGACGACGACGAACTCCACTTCGAGCTGGGCTCTATGGAGCCCGTCGCCGAAGATCACCGGGAGGGTTATTACCCCCTCAGAATGAATAGTATCGCCGGTGAAGCCGGCAAGAGGGGTCTTAATGGGCCGAAGGGACCCCCTCTCCAGATGCATCTCTCTGAAGGTGCTGAGGTACATTACATTGACGGAGCTGCCCGTGTCAATGTAAGTTCGGTGAATGATGGTGTCGTTTATTTCAGTCCGAATCACCAAGGCATCCCTGTGAGGAGAAGAAGTAGGAGGGAGATCTGCGTTGGTGAAGGTGATGGGTTCCTCCCTCAGTCGCTTTACCGGGGGCATATGAGTGACCTCCCCCACGTAAAGCGATTGAGCCCACTTCTTCTGCTGGCTGGTGGAATCGCCCCCTGTATTGCCGCCGGTGATCATGAGGATGTGGCGTTTTTCTCCTGGTAGTGGGGGTACACCTCCTCTTCCTCCTCCAAGTTTCCTATCTCCTTCTTCTTGCCGAGGGGGATGGTGTTCGGGTTCACCCAAGCGTTCACCTTCGTGTGGTGCCCTCGGGGAGGTCCCTGATGAGAAGGTCCCTCCTGCCGAGGGCTCTGAACAAATTGGGACAGGTGCCCCGCTTGTATCAATCTCTCGATGGCCGTTTTTAGCTGGTGGCAATCGTCGGTTCTGTGCCCCTGATGCCGATGGAAACGACAGTAAGGAAACTGAGGGTTGATGGCATGTACCTCCGGGGGTGCGCGAGAATCGCGCTCAACGAGGCCCCTCTCCTCGGCAAAATCAAGGATGATGCTGACGGGGTGCGTCAATGGTGTCCGGGGGCGATCCAGGAGAATGGGCTGTGCCCAAGTCTTAGGGTTGCTCTTATAACCTCCCCCGGGCTTGGCTTGGCCTTGCCGAGGGCGATCATCAGAGGGTCCTGAAGACTTGGGGTGATTTGGAGGAGCCCCCGGCCCTCGGTTGTTTTTGTTGTCAGCCCTCGGGGGCTGCTGATCCGGATGCTGGTGGTATTTCTCCACCTCCTCGGCCTCAGCATATCGGTCCCCCCGCTGCAAAGCCCTTATGTAGTCGCGGGGGGGGGGGGGGGGGGGGGTTCATTGATGAGGCTCCTTGAAAAGTTGCCGGTGCGGAGGACGGTTTGTAGGAGGGCCAGGAGGGTCCCGTCATCAGCACCGTCGACTTTGTCGGCTTCCGTCCTCCAGCGCTCCAGGAAGTCCCGAAGGGTCTCATCCCTCTTCTGGCGTATGGTTAGGAGGTGGGAGAAGTGCTTCCTTGTGCGACGCCTCCCGACAAATTGTGTCAAGAATCGCTGGGCGAGTTCTTGCCACGAATCAATGCAGCCCTCGGGCAACCGGTTGAACCATTCGTATGCCGGCCCTCTAAGGTGGAGAGGAACAAACGACACAAATATTCGTCCGACGCCCCTACCATCATCATGTTGTTCTGATATTTGCTGTAGTGTTCCTGGGGGTCCGTCTTCCCGTTGTAGGGCTGTATGTGTTGCCCTCGGTATTTTTCCGGGATCCGGGCCGCCAATACCCTTGGGGTAAATGGCGTCCGAGTCCGGAGCTGGATGACGGGTTCCCCGGAGCCCTCGACTACCTTCTTCTGTAATTCCTCCAGTTTGGCCATCATGGCCTCGTATTTGAGGTCTGAATGAGGGGTGGAGGTGGTGGCGTGAGCTTTGTTGGCCTCCATTTCATCAAGCCGGCGTTGGAGGGCCGCAATAATTTCGTCCCGGTGATCCTTCGGGAGGGTCTCCGCCCCCTGCGAACGAACCCGGGCCGAGTGGGCCTGGTTGATTTGGTGGCGGGCATCGTCGGCATGAAGGGGTGCCTTGCCTTTGTCCCGAGGGGGACGCTCCTCGTCTGCCCTCGAGACAGACCCTCCGCTTTCCTGGGGCCTTTGGAGTGCTTTCCCTCCGAGGCGGTCTTGGACCCCTCGGCGGTCTTGCCCTCCTCCGAGCCGGTTGAGGGCGGAAGTGCGGGGCCTTTCTCTGTTGTCATTGTGGCGGTCCCGGGACTGAACTTCCTGGGAGGCCGTATCTTGGGCCACTACCCCTTCGTCATTCCTAACCCGAGGGATGGGGTTTCCGAAGGGGTGTGGCAGAGGGGGAAGTATGATGTTCTCCCCAACCTGGGGTTGAGCCGGAGCCAGGGTGCCGAAGGCACCTGGGTTCTGAGTGAGCGTCTGGATGAAGGCGGAGAGCGCCGATTGTACGTCGATGGTGAGAACCGGAGGGCTGACTTGGTCATCGCTCCGGTTTTTCTTCTTGGCCTCGATGTCGAGGCGGGCATCAGGGGCATTCTGTTGGATCTGAAGGCGTAGGTCGACAGCCGCCTGTTCCAGCCCAGCGATGACACCGCTCTCGGGAGCCCTGTGAGAGGCTTCGGGGGCGTTGACGTCGCCGAGGGCCAGGTTCTTGTCTTCTACGTTTTTGGAGTTGGCACGTGTTGTTCTCACCATTTTGGTAGAGGGCTAGTGTTTGGCGAAGGGGGAGGGTTTCTTACTTGATTGTTCGACCTCTCAACGAGAGCACCAAGTGATGGCGAGTGTACTCGGGGGGTAGCTTATCCGAGGGGTTATTATGGGGAGTAACAAGAGAGAAGTCAGAGCAAGTAAATGTAGAGAGAGAAAGTATATTATAAGTGTGGAGCATTTTCAGCGTGGTTACAAATGGGGAAATGGGGTGCTATTTATAGTAGCAATAAATGCCGGACAGGGACACACGTCAAACGCCCATTGGCCGAGAGGTCATCTCAACTGGTTGGCGCTGGCAGCCGCATGTGGCCGCATTTAATGCGGCTGTTGGATGGGACATCTGTACAGGGTACGGTGATCTGTACGCATGTGGTGCGGATATCATGTCGGCAGAGGTGCCCTCGGCTGCAGAGGACTAGCCGAGGGCTCTTAGTGCTGAGGACCCCTGAGTGCCGAGGGCTCCAGATGCCGAGGGCTACTGTTTTCTGCCGTTTTTCTCCCAGTTTCTTAGTTTGCTTGGAAAACCCGTTCTGTGAGAGTTTTAGAGCCTTCGGCCGGGGGGCCGAAGGCACCCTTGGTGCGCTTTGCGGGCTGCTTGGTACTCTGGGCGCTGTGATTTGGGCCTGTTGGGCCTTTTGGGCCTGTTGGGCCTTCACTGGAGTAGTATGAGTCTGTGGGCCGGGTGTTCCCGGGCCATGTACTCCATCAAAAAGCGTATCGTTTTTTGAACCAAAAAACACGTTTAAAACGAAAAATAATGTCGGTCCGTTTAAAAAGGAAAAAAAACTCATGCTTCCCGTATAAAATGTATTTTTCCCGTATTTTACTAAAAATAGAAACATAATTTGATCAATTGAATGAACGCATTAAATGCAAATGAGATCAATAATAATGTAAAACCAAACAAGAAAAGCTCCCCTCCATGATCCCATGTTTTTGTATTGTTACAATACAATTATTAAATATTAAAATTAATTGCATGGCGGCTTAAGCTTGCATCCCTTAATTTCCAAAAAATAAAAACATGAATAGATGATTGAATGAACACATTAAATGAATATATAGGGGATCAACAATAATTTAAAAGAAAAAAGACAAGCTCCTCCATGTGGGCTCATGCTTTTATATTGCTAAAATACAATTATTAAATACTAAAATTAATTGCATGGCGGCTAAAGCTAACATTCTTAAAAACTAAAACTTAAAATGCTACAGAGTACTAGATTTCTAATGTTTTTCCAAACAAGCATGTCAAAATTAAAGTTTTTTTAAATCTGACATTTTTTTAGTATAAACTTTTATACATAAACAATAAGAAGTGTGCTTAGTAGTCGCATATGTCATCTGTTGTTTTGATGAAAATGATGAATTTAAATTGAGTGTTATTTGATGATCATATAAAGATAATCATTTTAACTTAGTCTTAATCTATTTTTATGTCTTATTTATTGACATTAGTTTACAAAATCATGTGTTGGACTTAATTACTTTTTTTTTGTCATCGACTTATGCAATTATGAATTATCCTTTTATGTAATAATGAAATTTGCTACTTGAATAAGTGCATACTTTTATTTTTTTTTACTATATATCTTATTTTGTGAAGTATATAATTTAAATTTTCAAAATAGTACCCATATTTTTTGTCCGAATTTTTGTAACAAATACCATATTTTACATATATATATATATATTTACACATTTTTTTTGAACGAATTTTTGACCATTTTTTCATTAATGTTACCGAATAAAATGAGTCTATATTAAACCTAGTTTAATTCCCACCTAGGGAGTCTTTCAAAAAATCTATCATTTTCCCGCCAATGAAATCGAAACCTCCTAGTATCTACTTTCAAGTTCCCGCCATTGTTACCCAATTGCACATATACGCCTGTTAGCCTGTACATCACTGCACCGTTGACTCTGCGAGACAGAGACCAGCCTCCACCAGACGACGCTGCTGGCCGCCTACCGGCTACCGTGCTCTCCCGGCTGCCCAAACCCGTCAGTCCACCAAACGCCCAGCCTGATTGCTGGTCAGCCTCCGCCACCCGCTCGCCTGCTGCACTGCCGCACCTACACCGCTACACGTCGTATAAATACCCCAATATCCGTCACTATTCATCAAGTCCAGTCGGAAATGGATTTCTTTGCCAAAAAGCTCGGCCTCTCTGAGAACAAGATGTTCATCCGTAAAGCTGCCGAGCTCCGACGTCAGGCCGATATCCAATTTGATTCATCCGTTATCGGCGTTGGTGAAGTATGCAAAGCCATCATCTGCCTTGAAATCGCTGCTTCTGGGATGGGTGTGATATTTGATCGTCAGGCTGCAATCAAATTGAGTGGAATGACAGAAAAGGCTTACAATAGATCATTCAATTCATTGCAGAATGGCATTGGAGTCAAGAGTAAGCTTGATATTAGTGAATTGGCTATTCAGTTTGGGTGCATTAGGCTGATACCTATTGTTCAGAAGGGTCTAGCACTATACAAAGACCGATTTGTTACTTCACTGCCGCCTTCGCGTAGGCTAAGTGCAGATTTCTCTAGGTCTGTCTTTACTGCTGTAGCATTTTATTTAAGTGCCAAAAAGCACAAGTTGAAGGTGGACAAGGTTAAGTTAATTGAGATCTGTGGTACTTCAGATTCTGAATTTGCAAGTGTTTCTACATCCATGAAGGACTTGTGCTTTGATGTTTTTGGGATATCAAAGGAAAAGAAAGATGCCAAGGAAATCCAAGGCAACCGAGAGCTGCTTGATGCTTTGCCTGAGAAGAGAAGGATAGAGGATGGTGGCTATTCATCTGATGAGGATCAGTCTTACTACAAGAGGCAAAAACTAATGCACAAACAAGAATATGAGAATTGGAAATCTACGGTTGTGAACTCCAACCATCACTTCAAATCTAAAGCTCCATTGAAGCGCACCAAACAAGTCCGGCTAAACTTCCCGAAAAAGGTTTCAGAATCAGAAGTAGATGTGGCATGATACACATGCAACATGTTTGTAATAATTGTCGAATGGTGTTAGCATTTTACCATGGCTAGGAACACAGATCCAAAAATATCAAGGATAATGATCTCCCTGAATTATTGTTAGTTGACATCTGAGGTGGGGCTGAAAATGCTTACTGGTTTTACTGTCTACACAGCAGCAGTTTCATTTTTGGTATGTATGAGTATATTACTGAGTATGATTCATGCTCAAGGTACTAAAAAAAGGACAAGAAAATGTGTTGTTTTTCTGAATAATTCATGAAAGAATAGAATAACTAAGATGCTTAGATTCAGATTGTGTACACCCCTGTCAAGAGCATCCTTCAGAGCAGCCTGAGTTTCTGCATTATTATATTGTTCCAACATCATACTTTGAAGGCCATTTCCATCATTTGCAATGGAGCCAAAGATTCACTATTTTTTGGCTTGAGAATATGATGGAATAAAGCACAATGACTCACTAAACTGTCTGCGCTTCTTTATTGTGAGGCAGCCGTCAATCCATGTATTTTTCGACGCGATTTCACTATGGGTCATTCGGAAACAGTCTCTCTGTGCTTTAGTACAAGGGTAAGACTGCGTACATCCGACCCTCCTTACCCCACCGTAGGTGGGAGCCTTTGCGGCACTGGGGTAATGATGATGATGATGATCATACTTTGAAGGCCCTCTCTATTCAGAGATTTGCTGAGGAATAAATAACATGGCATTTGATCATCCAATGAATGGACTATAAACTCCCAATACATGTTTGGATACAGTGTCTTTTGCATTTATGTTGTATTTAGATCTCCATTAGCAATTGACTCAATCTGAGAGTTTCTCCATTAGCAATAATGATACAAAAAAGCCCTAATGCCGCAACACCTTAGAAACAGGATGGACCCTTCACACAATATGGCCTTCATTCAGTCATTCCATACTATTCCTTCTAGTTCTTAATTCCCACAACTATCTCGCAAGCAACGCAAGCAACGCAAGCATTAAGCCATCAAGAACCCATGTAAAGGTTAATCTCACTTTCCCTACTTTGGGATAGCACAAGCTTTTCAAAGATACACACATGAAGATAAAAATATGCAATGTATAAGAATGATTTTTAAGACTCAATGAATCAGAAAATTACCTCCAGTTCCTTTGAGCAGATTCAATAGACTCAACACTAGGTTTGGCAGATATGACAATGATAAGATCATCTATTGAGAGCTTATTTCTGAGACCTTTAATGTTTCTACCAAGTTTCTAGAAGAGCTGAAAGAGAACCTTCCAATACGTGATGTATGTATTTCTAAGAAGAAAACTGCCTTTAATTCCTGCAATATTGTTTCTGGTCATGCTTTTAGCAGATTAAACTCTACAGTGGCTGCCCAATGAATTAGTATATCACCTTTGTTGTCAGCTTTAACTCTACAGTGAGGTTTCCATTTAGCACTGTCAAAGGAAGTCAAACAATATCTGTGGTGTGATAGACTATCACCCATAATGATCTAAAAGCTTGAATCTTTAAAAGCTTCTATGATGCTGAAACAAACAAAATTTTGTGCTTTCAAGTGAATTCTCCAAATCTCTTGAGGGCAGCCCCTGAACCAATTTCATATAGAAGAATGAGGAAGATTGTCTTCTTTTCTTGAGCTTATTTGCTTGATTCCCATATCTTACCTGAGTATAATTACGAACATTAAGCCTAGCAGAGAACTTTCTGTCTTCATGGATTCTTCCAAGGGAAAGGTATAATAGCTGTCTGAAATGGCTCAGTAACCTCTTTGCACCAATCAAATGCTAATAAAATGAAGAAATAAATTACGAAGATGGACACCTCTTTCTGTCTTACGAAGATAGTTAAATCTTCCATTATAGCTCTAGTCCTTAAAATGCTATTATGTTCATTCAGAAGCAACAAACCTCTTCGAACTGATATGGTATTGAGCAAGATCAGCAAAAACCACGCACTGATTTTGACTGGACTGGATTGCAGTTGTTGATGAGCAGATTGCCGAAGGAAATGATCTATTTAAGTGTTTAGCCATGAGCAGATTGCAGTGAACTTGTGAAATCAGGGAAGGCAAAACCATGTGCAAAGTAGACATATGGGGGCCACTTGGCCAATCAGAAAAACATATGATCTGAAGTGTGGCCTTTTCCAGGAACATACAAATTAGGAATCACAAGGTATGTTTCCTAACCAATTCATATGACATTTGACAGGTCTCCTACTAGTTGAGCTATCGCCATTTATTCAATTTTACTGAACCATGTAAGGGAATAATGCTTAAAGACAATACCATGTGGTAATGTCTCAGTCATACCAAACTCAAAGCTAGCTGTTTGGTGGAGCCTTTCACCATCCAGCATGAACCTATGGAATCTGAAATATTTCCATACACTACAACCATACAATGTGAAATCACATGGTCTGTTTCCTAATAATTTAGGGGTTCAAACTAATAGGTAGGCTTTCTTGTAAAGACATTAGTAGTTAGGATATCCCCATTTGTTCAAGATTTATTGAATCGTTGAGTAAAGAAGAACCCATCTACTGCAGATTCATTACAGACATGCCATGTTCTTGTATTATTTTGTTAAAACCTGTTGTTGATGTCTCTTATCATAGAAGGCTGGCAGGATTTCCACGTAGATATCTTTCAGCCACTCACTCAACCAACCTCCCATTGGATCTATCTATATAAGCAATACTGAGTTTTGTATTCTGCCCAACTCATAATACCTTCTTCACACAACTCCTTAAAGAATCTAACTACATATAGTTTTTAGAGCTAAAAAACAAAGAAACATTCAACCATGGCTATTAGTATGACAAAATTTCTGCGTGCTACTAAGCCAAGCCTCAGGAGATCATCTTCAAGAACTCACACAGAAAGTGAGGTTCCTAAGGGTCACTTTGCAGTTTATGTTGGTGAGGGTGAAAAGAAGCGATTTGTCCTTCCGATATCATGCTTGAATGACTCTTCATTCCAAGATTTGCTCAGTCAAGCTGAGGAAGAATTCGGATTTGATCATCCAATGGGAGGACTCACAATACCTTGTCCCGAGGCTACTTTCCTTGACATTATCTCTAGCTCGATTTGATCATTATCATAGAATACAGATAGAGATGGCATAGTGTAGTTTAGTGAACAATTCTTTTTTGGTATAAGAGTTACCTTGTACAGTTGACATTGAAAACAGAGAATATACTATAACTTCATTACTTTGGAACTTATTCTGATTTATCATGTTACTCGCAACACAGTAACTGAAGCTAGTAGCCTAGTACAGAAAATAGATGGAGCACTCTCTTGTAATTGAAACCTTGGGGGAGGAATATATTCATCAAAAAAAACTTGATTGATAAGACTTTTAATATTTTATAATAATGCTTTTTAATCCATTTCCAAAGATAATCTGTACATTTATGTTGCAAAGCTATGAATATGAACTTTGGAGCTTATGTTAAATCACAAATTGAGGGAGGCCTTTTAAGTCATCACCATCCTGTTCTGCTACAGTGTATAAATATGTCTAATGGAAAGTAATTCTAAAATCACATATGTTTTTTCTATTTGTTAGATACTCCGTCTACTTTATAAAGGATCATTTGACATGGGAATGGGTATGAGGCACATTATCCATGCTAAAAAGGCCTCAGAAAGAGTTCTTCAAGAACAAATTGAGAAATGAGGTTCTTTACATCCTCTCCAGTTTGAGTAGCAGTCACTGAGAGACTCCACCAGCAGCTCAGTTTTGTGGTAAAATGTTGTTATAAATAAGATGAGTTCTCTTCTACAAATCTACAGAAATTAGATTGCATTTGGCACCTGATGAAAGAAGTGAGCATGGAGTACAAGTTTTGAGAAACTGCACATGAGTTCGTTTAGTGAGGTTAAAGTTTTGAAACATGAATTTCTTGTAAACATAAATGCTAAAATATTCAAAAATTAATACAGAACTTTTGTTGAACATAGTAAATGAAATTCTAAGTAACTGTCCAGTGTCACTTGTTCCTGAGCTAATTTATTCGTGATCTAATAGCTCCGACACAGTAATGTGGTCCTCCAATTAAGCAAAGCTATCAAGATTTGTGTGATTATAAAACTCTGAATACACTGCAAGAGGGTGTGCACTTGTAAGGTAGAATTGAGATCAGTGAAAATTTTAATTATTCTTAAATGTCTGATAATCTCTCAATCCGCTTCCCAAATAATGTTTATACAATGGAGATTTTTCAATAGCCGTGTAAGGTTGTATCTGGCTACGTGACCGCGTTCAAACCCTAAGCCTATGTATATCTTGGGCTGTGTATTGGGCTCTGCTCACTCTATGCAGTTAGCTCTTAGATAATAAAAAGTGATATAAAAAAATGAAAATGAAAATAAATTAGGAAATACGTGGGTCCTACACATAAAAATTGTGAGATAAAAAATAGGTCTCATGCGTAAGGGTGTGTAAGAGACCACACCCTTTCATTGGAGTTGCTCTTAGATTTCTTTAGATTTCACAAGAGTCAATTTGCTACAAAACTTGATTACAATTGAGGAAGTGATCTATTTATTTAGCATATTGAGGAAGTAGGCAAAACCCTGTGCCACCTACTGGTTGGTGTGGAGTTTTTCCGTATAATAAATACAATGTGTAATCACATTGATTTCCCTAATAATCTACAAATTCAAATTAATATTTGAGGCTTTCTTTTTGAGAAAGAAGTTGTTATGATATCCCCATCTACATAAGATTCATTGAAGCGTGTGGGGAATGATGTTTAAATACAGAGGATTTTTAGTGTACTAAAATATGTTATAATTTTTTGGAAGACAAAACCAGCTGTTGGTGTCTCTTATCTTTCCAAGGTGGCTGGCCTTCCATGTAAATTTTTCTGAGCCACTCACTCAATCCCTCCCTCAATGGCTATACCTATATAACCACAACTGAATTTGACATTCTCCCCACTCCAAACAACTTCACACAACTCCTTAAACAACTAGCTTCTGCAAATAGTTTTCTATAGTTAAAACCATAAACATTCAACCATGGCAGTTAGTATGGCCAAAATTTTGCGTGCTACTAAACCAAGCCTGAGGAGGTCTTCTTCCAGAACAAACAGAGAAATTGAGGTCCCTAAGGGTCACTTTGCAGTTTATGTTGGTGAAGGTGAAACGAAGCGTTTTGTCCTTCCAATATCATACTTGAACGACTCAGCATTCCAAGATTTACTCAGTCTGGCTGAAGAAGAATTCGGATTTGATCATCCTATGGGAGGACTCACAGTACCTTGTCCAGAAGCTACTTTCCTTGAGATCATCTCTAGCTCGAGTTAATCATCATTGTAGAAATACATTTAGAGATGACTTAGTTTAGTTTAGTGAACAATTATTTTTGGCAGGAAAATTTATCTTGTACGGATTACTTAGAGAATATACTATAACTTCATACTACATCTACCAATTTGCTTTGGAGGTTTTTCTGATTTGTCTTGTTACTCACAACACAGTAAGTGATCTTTGAATCTACTACCAACATTACTTTGTAACTGACCAAAAACTTGAATGAAAAAAAGTTTTATATGACACAAAAATGTTCATTTATTCATTATTAGTTGCAAAGAAAAACTTCACAGCAGTGTTAATAAAAATTAGCTTCGGAACTTAACTGAAATGACACATATGAGGGGGCTGGTTCTCATACAGTAAATCAATATCTTATTGAAGGTTATTTAAAAACCACATTTACTATGTATCGGAAATTGGAACTACATTACCAGTCATACTAACATAATATATGGCTATCCCTCCCATCCAAATTCTTTTAGCCACCGCCCAATTCACATCTTATGGGATTTATATACATAAACACATTTCAGCCGGTATGCATATTCACCACATTTGTTCAATAGCTAAGACATATATATACACATATAATTACATTCAACCCTATTCACCACATTCGGTTACATTCAACCCTATTCACCGATGCCACCGCCGCAGCCGATCCCCCTCTAAATGGCTATATCTATATAACCACAACTGAATTTGATATTCTCCCCACTCCAAACAACTTCTTCACACAATTCCTAAAAGAACTAGATTCTACAAATAGTTTTCTATAACCATAAACATTCTACCATGGCAGTTAGTATTGCCAAAATTCTGCGTGCAACTAAACCAAGCCTGAGGAGGTCTTCTTCAAGAACAAACAGAGAAATTGAGGTTCCTAAGGGTCACTTTGCAGTTTATGTTGGTGAGGGTGAAAAGAAGCGTTTTGTCCTTCCGATATCATACTTGAACGACTCTGCATTTCAAGACTTGCTTAGTCAGGCTGAGGAAGAATTTGGATTTGATCATCCTATGGGAGGACTCACAGTACCTTGTCCAGAAGCTACTTTCCTTGAGATCATATCTAGCTTGAGTTAATCATCATTGTAGAAAATACAGATAGATATGACTTAGTTTAGTTTTAGTTTAATGAACAATTATTTTTGGCAGGAAAATATTTCTTGTACAGATTACTTAAGAGAATATACTATAACTTCATACTACATCTACCAATTATCTTTGGAGGTTTTTCTGATTTGTCATGATACTCACAACACAGTAAGTTAACCTAGCTAATACAGACAATAGATGGAAAGTTCTTCTAATTCAAGTCTTGAACGATGGGGAGTGGGATGTTTTTCTAGCAACATTAAAGCTGGCATGGGAATAGGCCTGTCAATGGGTCGGGTCTAGACCCGGACCCGGTCCGAATTCGGCACTGTATTTGAGGGTACAGGTCTAAATTTAGAACCGTTTCCGCGATCCGAATCCAAACCTATTACATGAGAAAGAAATATGGGTCGGATATGGAGCTTTAAGTTCCGGCCTGTTTTGGACCCGACCTGTGGCGATATAATTATAGTTATAGTTATATATATGATACACACACACACAATATACTTACAAACATTTAAACATGAAATAAGGAAAATAATCTGTTGAGGATCGATTCCGTCACAGGATTCCGGCTCAGGCAGT